TCATGCCTATTTTAGCCTCAAATCAGTGTGAAAATAAAATAGTTTTATATAGAAAAGGTTTAGCTTTAAATAAAAACTTTAAGGAATTTGGCAAAGATGAAATATAATGAAAATTAATCTTTAAAGAAAATGATTTCAAACACTAATTTGTATTAAAAAGTAGAGATCTATACTTTAATGATTATAATCATACGGATTATTTAGACTGTGCATGCAGCAGGAGTGAATTTATTGATCATTAATGGAATGCACACAAAAGAGACCAAAGTTACAGGGATTTTTTCCAGGATTTTAGGAACACGACACATGGTGAAAAAAAGCATGACTGAAATTTTAAAGGTGATTAAAATAAATGGATGCAAACAATTTCTGTCTATGGTGGCATCTTCAATTATTTAAGCACTATTACAGTGAAGATCGAAGCCCTTATTTGCAAAGATTCAATACTTTAATTTTTGTAACTTTCAATTGGGAATTTTTTATGTGGATTTGGAAAATAATATACTATTTTCAATTGGGAATGTGACCCAATAACGGCTATAAAATAAGCCAAAAAAATCCCTGCTTGAGTTAACAAAGCTGCATTGTATTTAAAGGATTTTGTTGTGATATGATTTTATAACAGTGGGTGGTCAGTCAGGAAAACTTTATAATCAGTTCCAGAATAAGGGCAACTGGTCAAGATACTATTGATTGATTATACTCTAAAATCACTCATTTTATTCAATGACATAAACTCCCAACTTTTCTAGGAAACACATTTAGACCTGTGACAGTATGCTCATTTTTTAATGTCGAAGTTGAGCTGATATTCAATGTTCAATCTCTAAATGATCAATTAATGAAACATTGGATTGACCAATAATTTATAATGACAAACAAAATGATTAGGGTGAAATTAAAATTGCTTAACATAAAAAAAGACTGCCCAACTTTTATGTGACATCCGTGCTGTTCTACAGAAATTAGAAACTTCGAGTTTGACGGGAGCAATAGCGACCGTGGAATGTTTCTAATTTCTGTAGAACAGCTACGGATGAATACTAACATATTTAGTGTCAACCTCATTAATGATTATGATAATATCAAAATGATCAATTGAAAACATTGGGACAAAATGTAAAGTTATTATGACTTTTTTCACGTTACAGCACTCAACATTAACATTTATAAGGATTAGCATAATATCACTTTAAATGTAATTTTAAGGCATAACAATAATAATGTCCTGTACTTGCTAAGGTATTCTGGTGGAACACTATTTCTTTAATAATTAAATGCCCACGCTGTTATAATAACTACCACATTTTTTCATTCATTCTGACTATTCTGCAGTCTGTACGGAATTGCTTATTCAAGAGTTATAAATTACATTCAATAAGTTTTTTCCAAAGCTATGAGATTTGCAACAATAATGTTACACATGTATATAATGATCCCAGTAACACAGTCATGTGCATACCAAATTAGACACCAAATAAAAATTGTAAATTTTCAAATTTTTCTGGTACACACATAGTGTTGTCCCGATTGTCTCTGAAAATCGATAACTAATCGGACCACCCCAAAATCGGCAACAATCGATAGTCCTTTTTAAAAATCGATTATTTTAATGTTCTACCATCGCTGAATGGCATAACTTTTTACACGCGGTCAAATAGAAGTTTCCTGATTCCAGACGATCCTATTTAAGTCTTTTTTGTTTGCCTTATTAAAAAAGACATACAGAAAAACATGGCTAGTGAATAAGTAATTAATTGATTGATTAATTAATTGACATCTTCCACTTTTTAATCAGCAAGTTTCATAGTTAACACCCTGAATCGGTTCTTCCCATATTTGTGCACATTTACAAATGAAATTAATAAAATTTATCTAATTTTCAAAACCTATTTAACATGGTTGATATTACTTTACAAAAATTATAGTGTGTAATAACATAATATTATAAACTTACATAATGAAGATATTATCCACTGTAGTTAAATAAGTGATCCCGTTGACTAGTACTAATATTGACTGCCATAAAGTTGTATTTTACAAAATTGACTGTCACAAAGTTGTATTAGGTATTTGTGTTGTTTGTTTTGAATTCAAAGAATAAATCTTACTTTAATCTTGCAGACAAGAGTTAATTTATTCTCAAAATGTGGTCACTACTGTATAAAAAATACATACAAGTATTGGTACCTTAAAAGGAAAATAGTTGGCAAACCGCTAGCGCAGCTTAATAGTACTGTACATCAGCACCTGTTGTAGAGTCCTTGATACAAATTAGCATGTGTAATAGATATAATACTTCACTTTGCGAAACCCGCACAACATGCTAGTATGTTTAACATCTCCTCTATATTGTTGCTCTCGACAAGGTTTTTTCGCTATATCTACAAGCATTGATGCTCACACCCTAGCTAGCTCTAATATAAACTTACAATACCGTCCGCTGTAAACTTTAACAAACATGGTGTGCGAAAGTACGAAAAGCATATTTTGGTGTGAGAGCTGGCATGTAAGTCTGTGTCAGGTGATAAAATCTTACTATCCTCAACCACAACCTCTCACTGCCCTAAGTGATATGAGTGTCATAAGTAAAGTTATAACTTATAACAGTTAAAACAGTCAAATTCAAATTGTGATTTTCCATCTTAATGCATGCAGGCTTGCGATATAAATTAAAATATTGACAAATTAATCACCTGTCAGCGTAACATACTAGGTAAGGTTGCCAGTTAATGTTCTAGTTAAATATCAATGCAAGACTGGTCCGAATTGTACTCTTTTTTTTTTTTTTTTTTTCTCGCGAAAAATAGTTTCTGTAAATAAACATGTTATTTTTTTCTTCACCTAAAGAAATTTTAGTGTTGTGTTAATTTCAAAAGACTATTAAAGGGACTCCACTGAGGTTTTTTTTGACATGACGGAACTGGAAATATTTTTTTGAGATTATTACTCCATTTGATGCAGATCTATACTAATTACTTACATGTGCAAAAATTTCAGATTCTTAGCTTGCTCCATTTTTCCAGAATAATTATTATAATAGTGAAAAATGACCCAAAATTGAAAAGCGTTTAAACGCTTTACACATAAATCGGACTGAGAATGTCACAAACATATGATTTTTAATGTATTTCTTTAAAAATTTTGGTTATATTTTATAAATATTGATGTTTTAAGTGCTCATGTATATGACTGTGAAAAAATTAAAATTTCATGTTTACGCTTATAAACCTCAGTGGAGTTCCTTTAATGATTTGTGTTGTGTTAATTTCTATAAACTTCTCATTTCACTTTATTTTCAAAGTAATATCTGGAAAGTTGGTACAACCTAAAAATTATACTGAATACTAAACGGAATGAATAAATGTACACAAATTGTTTCACCTGGCACAAAATACTTGTGCACTGCACAAGTACTTTGACTCACTGCATACTCACACAGGATAAAAATAATTTTCTGGTATATTTAAATTATTAGATACTATTACAAATTACTTTTATTTTCCAATTCTAAGTTAGACAACTTGTGAGATGTTGGTTTAATTGCATCCTAATGATTTTACAAAATTTGCCATTAAGACATTTAAAATTCTATTTTTAGCTTGACTATTCGAAGAATATGAGAGCTATTGTAGTCGCCCCGGCGTCAGCGTCTATGTTGGTTAAAGTTTTTTGTAAATTCAAATATCTCAATTATTGCTTTAGATATTCAGTTGAAACTTACAATACTTATTTATAGTAACAATGTACATCAGATTGACAAGTTGGATAACTCTGCCTACAATATTGACAAAATTATGCCCCTTTTTTAACTTAGAAGTTTTGGTTAAAGTTAAAGTTCAAATATCTTTTTGCTTGAGATATCATTGAAACTACATCTTATTTAGTAACAATGTATCAGATTGACAAGTTCTATTGAATTCTGACCCTTTTAAGAAATTTGAAAGTTTTTGTAAAGTCAATATCTCAATATTGCTTGAGATATTCATTTGAAACTTACAATACTTATTTATAGTAAACATCAGATTGACAAGTTCATAACAGATTGACAAGTTGGAAATATTACTCTGTCGACCAATACAATATTTACAGGCAATTCTGACCCTTTTTCCTCCCTATAAGAAACGATTTTGGTTATTTTTCAAAGTTTTTTGTCAAAGTCAAATTTTACTCAATTATTGCTTGAGATATTTTCATTTGAAATTTACAATACTTATTTATAGTAACAATGTACATCAGATTGACGAAGTTAGATATGGAACTCTGTCTATAATATTTTCAGAATTATACCCCTTTATAACTTAGAAATTTTGGCTAAAGTTTTTTTTGTAAAGTCAAATATCTCAATTATTGCTTGAGATATTCATTTGAAATTTACAATCCTTTTTATATTAACCATGTACATCAGTTTGCAAAATTGCATAACTCTGCCTGCAATATTTACAGAATTATTTGCCCCTTTGAAACTTAGAAATTTTGGTTAAAGGTTAAAGGTCTTCAAAGATATTTACTTGAAACTTTACACATGTGCTTAGGGTCATAATTGGAGAGTCATAATTGTATGTCACTGACCAAGTTCCATAACTCTACTCGCATTTAGGCTGATTCATCTTCCCTTCTACTTAGTCTCTTGGTTAATGTTTACATGCAAGTTTTACATATCTCAATAACTATTAAAGATATTTATTTAAAACTTCACATATATGCATTTAGAATCATAATTGTAGGTCACTGACCAAGATCCATAATTCTATCTTGCATTTAGGCTGATTTTTCTCCCCATTTTCAATGTCAATTTTATGTATTCATAGGTAATTAGCATTATTATACTTAATAAAACACCCTTGTGACAACTTTTTGAATAGTCGAGCCAATACTGTCCTCCGACAGTTCTTGTTTATCATGCTATATTTTCTTCTACAGAACCTGTTATACCTATTCAGACAAAGATTGTAAACATTTGTGTACACAAAAAAATGCAACGTCATTCTCACATTCTCATAGCAGCACAGTACTTAAATTATGGTCATGTTTTTTTTTTTCGTGAATGAATAATTTTATATTTTTGCAGGTGAAGCTACAATATTTGTCTTGAACTTGACTTTACTAGCTGGGCTTATAAAGACAAGATATCCAGAAGTGATTTCATAGAGAACTGGAAATCAATAAGTAAGTTTTTTTTATCCAAGTCTTTAAATTTTATTTTGGTAAACAATAATGGAACCTTTCTGAATTATTGGAATACATGTACATTATTGTTTTGAAATTAGAACAGTCCATTAAAAATTAATTATACTTTTCCTTTTAATCTTCATTTTTAGCTCTACTTTAAAAAAAAAAAAAAAGGTAAGTAGAGGTATAGTAACAGTCATGTCGGGTTGCCATTGTCGTTCGCAAATTTACTTGATCATAAATTTTTAAGTTCTTGGTGCATTAATTAAATGTCTTAATACCTGGCCACAACAACCCTTGGGACAAGACCTTCAAGTATACCAGACTTACCTTGACCTTCAATCATAAGTGCACAGTTTAAGATGTAAAATTGAACTTCAATATCAGCTGGCATAGATCAATTTCTTGGCCTTTGATGTACAGCTATGAAATTTGGACCACAAGCACAGTTTTAGATGTAAAATATCAGCCATCCTTTTTTTTACATAGTTGCCTACTTTCTTGTCCTTTAATGTACAGCTATGAAATTTGGACCATGTGCACAGTTTAATATGTAAAATTGAACTTTGTTATCAGCTGTCCTATATTTTGACCTAGTCATCTATCTTCTTGTCCTTTGATGACTACAGCTAAGAGATTTGGACCCTGTCAGTGTGCAGTTTCAGATATATTATTGAATTTCAGTTTTTGTCAAATATCAGATTTCCTAGATTTTGAACAATTGGCATACTTTGGCTTTTTTTTTACTTTTTTCTAAAATTTCTGTTTTAACATTTCTTTAAAACTTTAAATTTTAATTTGTTTGCATTTGGACAAAACAACACATGTTACCAAACATACATGTTCAATGATTTAGATATGATCTGTAGATGACATTGACAGTTGTTTAATTTATAATAAGGGGCAATAAAACATGAAAGCCATTTTTGTTCCCTAAAATGGTGACAGAATATTTGTCTTTTTTTTCTCAAAAACTATCAAAAGTTAATCTGACAAACATTAAATATTTCTTGACTATCAAGGAAAGGTTAGTTTCTAGAATTAGGCCTGCTTAGAACTCCTGTGTTGCTTCTAACTATCTAGAACTTGTGAAAAGTGGAGCTTGGTCTCTGACAGAATTTGATTAAATAAACATCTAAACTAATTTATTCAGTATATCTGAAACCACTCTAGGTATTAAGTTGGTAAGGTACAAGAAAGGCGTATCTATACGTCGGGAGATAATGCACAAAAAAGGCATAGCTGTCTGTGAGTCGGTTAAGTTGAATAACTTTAAAATATATTCTTTTTGTTTGCAGTACCTAGAAGCATGTGAAGTGGAGATGAAGTGATGCTGAGAACTTTCAAGGTATATTTTGCTATTTTTGAGTAAACCTGTGACATAAAGTGTAACTCCCTGCATTTTAGAATTCCTTTTTTGCTCGACTATATGAAGTATATGGAGAGGTGTCCTACTCACCCCGGCGTCTGTGTCAAGATTTCAGATTAAAGTTTTGGTGCAGTAAAATATTTTGGACTAACTTTTTATTGTGCCCCCACCATAGGTGGGTGGGGGCATTTAGATTTACCCTTGTCCGTCTATCCGCACTCACAGGACAGTAATTATGTGGCTAGAGGGACAATAGGTAACTGTTCTTTCTCTTTGATGTCATTCATTTCCGTAATGCTTTTATGTGGCTATTTTCTTTTGTGTGGCTAAAAAGAACAATAGAGAGAACAATAAAGTAGCCACATTATTACTCTCCTGTTAGAACGTCCATCCATCTGTCCATTCTCTTTTTGTGTCACACGTAACTCAAAAAGTAATTGATCTAGAGTCATGAAACCTTACAGGAATGTTGATCAGCATGTGAAGTTGTGCACCTGGGTATTTTCATGTGAATATATTATTCAGTATCTTCAGAGTTATTGCCCTTGACTTAGTAAAAATGTGCAAGTTTCAACAGTTACTTGTGTCGCAAGTAACTCAAATAATATTTTACCTAGAGGCATGAAACCTTACTGGAATGTTTATTAGCATGTGTAGTTGTTCACCTGGGTATTTTTGTGTGGATATATTTAGTATTTTTAGAGTTATTGCCCTTGACTTAGTAAAAATATCCAATTTTCAACTTGTGTCGCACATTGCTAAAAAGTATTTGACCTAGAGTCATGAAACCTTACAAGAATGTTGATCAGCATGTGTAGTTGTGCATCTGGGTATTTTTGTGTGGATATTTTTAGTAATTTTATTGTTATTGCCCTTGACTTAGTAACAATTTACACTATTCAATTTGTGTTGCACGTAAATCAAAATTTATTTGACCTGTAGGCCTGAAAGTTTACAAGAATGTTGGTCAGCATGTGTACCTTGGTGTTTTTTTGTGGATTTATTCAGTATTTGTAGTATTTGCCCTTTACTTAATAAAAGATTTTTAGTTTTCAACTTGGGCACATGTAGCCAAAAAAAAATTTGACCTAGAGACATAAGATTGACAAATCGGTGGAGTGTGCGGGCACCCGTGTCCTATGGACATATTTCTAGTTTCTTCAGGTATCAACTTCAAACTTCAAATATATGTTCCTTATCATCAACCACATGTCATGTGACAAGGTTCATAACTCTAGCACCAATATTTTCAGATTTATCTCCCCTTGAACTTAAAAAAATATTATGTTTTACTACAACTTTTTCATTTCTTAAGGTATCAACTTCAAACTTCAAATATATGTTCCTTATCAGTAAAATATTTTTGACTGTTACTTCTTTATTATACCCCCAAAAACGAAGTTTGGGGGGGTATATAGGAGTCACCCGGTGGTCGGTCGGTTGGTCGGTCGGTCGGTCCGTTGCATTTTCCTTGTCCGGAGCATAACTTGAAGACTAATGGTTGGAATTCAATATAACTTCATACAATGGTCAAGCACATTGAGAGGAAGTGCAGTGCACAAGAACCATAACTCCATCTTGACTAATTACAGAGTTATTGCCCTTTGTTACTTTTCCTTGTCCGGAGCATAACTTGAAAACTACTGGTTGAAACTCGAAACAACTTCATACAATTGTCAAGCACAATCAGGGGAAGTGCAGTGCACAAGAACCATAACTCTATCTAAGGTAATTACAGAGTTATTGCCCTTTGTTATTTTTCCATTGCTTTCTTTTGTCCGGACTTTAACTTGAAGACTAATTGTTGGAATTCAATATAACTTCATACAATGGTCAAACACATTGAGAGGAAGTGCAGTGCATAAGAACCATAACTCTATTTTGACTAATTACAGAGTTACTGCCCTTTGTTACATTTCCTTGTCCAGAGCATAACTTGATAACTACTGGTTGGAATTCAAAACAACTTCATACAATGGCCAAGCACAATAAGGGGAAGTGCCATGCACAAGAACCATAACTCCATTTTGACTAATTACAGAGTTATTGCCCTTTGTTTCTTTTCCTTGTCAGGAGCATAACTTGAAAACTACTGGTTGAAACTCGAAACAACTTCATACAATTGTCAAGCACAATAAGGGGAATTGCAGTGCACAAGAACCATAACTCTATCTAAAGTAACTACAGAGTTATTGCCCTTTGTTATTTTTCCATTGCTTTCTTTTGTCCGGACTATAACTTGAAGACTTAAAAAGTTTGAATTCAATATAACTTCATACAATGGTCAAGCACATTGAAAGGAAGTGCAGTGCACAAGAACCATAACTCCATCTTGACTAATTACAGAGTTATTGCCCTTTGTTACATTTCCTTGTCCAGAGCATAACTTGAAAACTATTGTTTGTAATTCAATACAACTTCATACAGTTGTCAAGGACATTAAAATGAAGTGCATTGCACAAGAACCATAACTCCATTTTGACAAAATACAGAGTTACTGCCCTTTGATACTTTTCCTTGTCCGGAGCATAACTTAAAATGTACTGGTTGGAATTCAAAACAACTTCATACAATGGTCAAGCACAATAAGAGGAAGTGCAGTGCATAAGAACTATAACTCCATCTTCAGTATTTATAGAGTTATTGCCCTTTGTTTCTTTTCCTTGTCTTTCTGGACTTATTACAGAGTAATTCAATAAAACTTCATCAATGGCCAACCACATTGAAAGGAAATGCAACATACAAGTACCACAACTACCTTTAATTGCCCACAACCATAACTCTATATTTCAATTCTTTTATAAGGTATTCTGTTACTAGTAACATCCTCTTTTCCGAAGTAGTCTTGTGGGGGTATTAATCACATTTAGTGATAGTTCTAGTTTCATAAGTGATCAACTTCATACTTCAAATGCATGTTCCTTATCCTCAACCACAGCTTATGTGACAAGGTTCATAACTCTAGCACCAATATTGCAAGAATCATCTCCCCATTAACTTAGTTTTTTTTCTTGAAAAATGTTATTTTTTACCATAACTTCTTTAGTTTTATAGATATCTACCTCAAACTTCAAAAACATATTCCTTATCATCAACCAAATCTTATGTGACAAGGTTATAACTCTTTAAGCAATATTTTCAGATTTATCTCCCTTTGAACTTAGAATTTCTTTTAAGAAATATCATAACTTCTTGCCTTTTTAGCTCACCTGTCACGACATCTCATAAATCACTGAGCCAATTTCGCCCAAACTTCACAGGAATGTTCCTTTGGTGGTCACCTTTAAAAATTAATAAGAACTAAATTCCATGCAGAACTCTGGTTGCAATGGCAATCAAAAGATTTAGATTTCTTCTTCTGAAAAACCCAAAGAGGTAGACCTTAGATATTTGGCACGATTCATCTTCTAGTGCGTGTCTACCAAGTGTGTTCAAATAAAAGCCCTGGGATCAAATTTGGCCCCACCCCAGGGGGTCATTGATTTTCCCTATATGTGTATAGTTAAAACTTAAAAAATCTTCTATAAAAAAAACCGAAAGAGCTAAACCTTATATGTTTAGCATGAAACATCTTCTAATGGGTGTCTACCAAGTTAGTTCAAATAAGAGGCCTTGGATTTAAATTGGCCCGCCCTGGGGGTCATTAATTTTCCTTATATATGTATAGCAAAAGCTTAAAAAATCTTCTTTTAAAAAAAATGAAGAGGTAGAGCTAGGGTATTAAGAATGAACCATCTTCTAGTGAGTGTCTACCAAGTTTGTTCAAATAAAAGCCCTCAGGGGTCAAAATTTTGCCTGCCCCAGGGGTTCATTGTTTTTCCCTACATGTGTATAGTAAAAACTTCTTTAATAAACCCAAGGAGCTAGAGCTAAGATATTGTAATATTGTAATGGGTGTCTACCAAGTTTGTTGAAATAAGGGCTCTGGGGTTACGGGTCATTGATTTTCCTAATATGTGTAAAAAATCTTATAAAAACCCCAAAGAGCTAGAGTTTAGATACTAAGCATGAAATATCTTCTAGTGAGTGTCTATACCAATTTTGTTCAAATAAAAGCCGTGTGGTACAAAATTATCCCTGCCCCGATGGGGGGGGGGGGTCATTGTTTTTCCCTATATGGGTATATTAAAAATTTAAAATTTCTTCTTTTAATAAACTCAAAGGGCTAGGGCTTAGATATTTAGCATGAAACATCTTCTATTGGGTGTCTTATTGTAACCAAGTTTGTTCAAATAAAATCCCTTGGGTTAAAATTTGCCTGGCCCGTGAGGCCTATATACAGGTGGGCGATTTCAGGGCTATCATTGCCCTCTTGTTAAGGTATCTTCTTCAAACTTCAAATATGTTTTTCTTATCACACATGTTGTGGCAAGGTCAATAACTCTAGTGTGACTATTTCAAGAATTATTTCCCCTTGAACTTGGAATTTATGTAAACAAATATAACTGCTTGTCATAAGAAGAAATAATTTTATATTATAATTGATTTTCCTATCATAGTTTTGTCTTCCTTACTGCATCCAGTATTTAATTAGTCGAGCTTCTCTGTCTCCTGTGACAGATCTTGTTGTTGTACATATTCAGTGTCAATTTTACCAATCTATTACTATAGCATAATAATATACATGTATAATTACTTATCATTATATAATAAAGATGTACATGTACCTGCACTGTTTGAAAATTTCATCTATTTTGACATCAAGCATACTTGACTCCTAGCATACTTGACTCCTGGCATCAGTGTTTGCTCAAAATTTCCTATATTTTTGTGTGAAAGGGTCGTAACTGAAACTTTATCAATAATCTTTTTTTGCATACAAATAGAATTACCTTACCAATCAAAGATAAATCAATAACTGAATGAATTTTAGCCCAATTCCAAAATCAAATTAGAACTTCGTAGGATGATAGATCTTATTAAGAAAAATTGCAGTGCACAAGAACCAGTACTTTGCACTTCTTTTATTTTGAGTTAGTGCACTTTGTTAACAATAATACTATATTTTTGTACAGGCCATTTCTCCTAAACAATAAAAGCTATTGACTTGAAACTTCATAGGATGATAGACATTATTAAGAAGAAGTACATTTCACTAGAACCAGAAGTCTGCACTTCTTATTTTTTTAGTTATTGCCCTTTGTTTATTATCATATTTTTTTGTCTGGGCCATTTCTCCTAAACAATAAAAGCTATTAACTTGAAACTTCACAGGATGATAGATCTCATTAAGGAGAAATGCAGTGCATAAGAAACGGTACTCATCACTGAAACAGTACTCATCACTTCTTTATTTTTGAGTTATTGCCCTTTGTTAATTTTCATTTGTTAAATACTTAATTTTTGTCCGGGCCATTTCTCATATATAACAAAAGCTATGGACTTGAAACTTCAGAGGATGATAAATCTCATTAAGAAAAATTGTAGTGCACAAGAACCAGTACACTGCACCTCTTTTATTTTCAGTTATTGCCCTTTGTTAACAATAATACTTAAGTTTTTTACAGGCCATTTCTCATAAATAAAACATAAAAAAATAAAGCTATTGACTTGAAACTTCATAGGATGATAGATCTCATTAAGAAGAAGTGCAGTGCAAAAGCACTGGTACTTACCACTTTATAATTTTTCAGTTAATGCCCTTAGTTAATTTTCATTCTTTATTTTTGTCTAAACCATTTCACAGACACTTGGGGTGTGGAGCTCAAAACGCCTTTAAAATCCAAATAAAAAGCATATTTGTCAATCCCAGCACATGTACTGATCATATATATATCAATAAGTCGTTATTATTATAGTCGTTGAAATATAAATTTTTTTCAAAACGGCTTATATTAAATTTTTTTGATATATATGATCAGTACATGTGCTGGGATTGACAAATATGTTTTTTATTTGGATGTTAAAGGCGTTTTGAGCTCCACACCCCAAGTGTCTGTGGACCATTTCTCATATATAATAAAAGGTATGGACTTGAAACTTCTGAGGATGATAGCTCTCATTAAGAAGAAGTGCAGTGCACAAAAACCGGTACTCATCACTTCCTATTGTTTAGTAATTGCCCTTTGTCAATTTTCATACTTTATTTTTGTCCTGGCCATTTCTCCTAATTAAGCTGTAAAAGTTATGGACTTGAAACTTCATAGGATGATAGATCTTATAGTAAAGAAGTAAAGTGCAAAAAAAACTGGTACTCTGCACTTCTTATTTTTTTAGTTATTGAGTTATTGCCCTTTATTGATTTTCAGGTTATTTCTCCTAAACTGTAAAAGCTTTGGACATGAAAATTTTGTAATTTCAAGGCCTTGAACTAAATTGCATCTTCACATTGAGTAGTTTAAGGGCCTTTAACTTAGAATGAAAAATAATCATGTATGCAAACAAAATTGAAACTATTAGAATGAAAATTAATGGTTTATGTAAACAAATTTGGAACTAGATATTAATATTATTATCAACATTACAATTTTGTCTGCATGCGTGAGCATCCATGGGGTGATGACACATTTCTAGTTTTATCTTTTTAAAATGCAATTTCAGAAATAGTATAATCAATTATCACTCTTATCTTTAAAAGTGACCTATATACCATGTACTTGTTTCATTGGAATAAGTCAGTACTTACCTATGCATTTATATTATTAGTTATAAAGATTTTTTTTGACAAGTTATATGGCCCTATATAAATGGTTATATTGCAAACAACAGTTTATATATGGCCATATAACCAGTGTCAGAAATATTTATAACAAATTTATGATACAGCAAGCATCTTTTTCAAGAGTAAAAAGATTTCGTCATAAATTTACAGCAGTCGTGTATATAAAATTGTATATATGTCACAATTGTCCAATGAAAAGCAATGTTACAACGTTCAGTATTATAAGTATATTTATTAACCAATGTCAGCAGGTTGGGGAAGACTGTTTTAAGAGACTGTCTTATGTGACCATTTTTCTTGATTCCCAGAGTCGATCACTTTAAACAGTCTTGACTGTACTGAGTAACAAACCTTTAGCACAAAGGCATCGATTTGCACTTACTCTTAAGAGTGTTAATATTGAATTTGATATTTATAATATACTTTGTCAAAGAAGCAATTATTATGTACATATCGTATATTTACTCACTGACTTACTTTGCAGGAAACTTCTCAGTGAAGTACGATGATGGCACACAAGAGTACCTTCTTCATGTTCTTCATGGGATAAAGCACAGGATCATTATAATCAGGAGTTACTCACAGGATCATTATAATCAGGAGTTACTAGTACTCAGTCAACATAGACTCAATTTTAGAAAAGAATTAAATGGATATTAATGTTAGCCTAAAAATATTTGACCTAGAGTCTTTAGTTTGTGTTGGGGCACCCATGTCCTTTGGATACTTTTCTAGTTACAATTTATTTAGACATTAGTGTAAATACAACAAAATTAATTATTTAATGCTGTTCATGTTTGAACTATGTTTTAATCTTACCTACATGTATAAAAATCAAACATTTTTAGCTCGACTATTTGATAAGAATAAGTATAGCTATTGTAGTCACCCGAGTGGCGGCGTAACCTCCTATGTTAAAGTTTTTGTAATACCACAAATATTTTCAAAGTCCGTTATTAAGATTTTTCTTGTTATAAATAAATGTTCCGCCGGCAGAACAGAATCACTTATGATTATCTCCTATGTTTAAATTGATGTTATCATATTTATGATCCGTCAGCAGAACAATTTCAAATCAATTTTATTAGCTCGACTATTCGAAGAATATGAGAGCTATTGTAGTCGCCCCAGCGTCCGCGTCGGCGTCAGCGTCCGCGTCGGCGTCTGCGTTGGTTAAAGTTTTTTGTAAAGTCAAATATCTCAATTATTACTTGAGATATTCAATTGAAACTTACAATACTTATTTATAGTAGCAAGCTACATCAGATTGACAAGTTGGATAACTCTGCCTACAATATTGACAGAATTATGCCCCTTTTTAACTTAGAAATTTTGGTTAAAGTTTTTTGTAAAGTCAAATATCTCAATTATTGCTTGAGATATTCATTTGAAACTTACAATACTTATTTATAGTAACAAGCTACATCAGATTGACAAGTTGGATAACTCTGCCTACAATATTGACAGAATTATGCCCCTTTTTAACTTAGAAATTTTGGTTAAAGTTTTTTGTAAAGTCAAATAATTATCTCAATTATTGCTTGAGATATTCAATTGAAATTTAAAATACTTTTTTTATAGTAACAATGTACATCAGTTTGCAAAATTCCATAACTCTGCTGCAATATTTGCAGAATTATTTGCCCCTTTTGAAACTTAGAAATTTTGGTTAAGGTTAAAGGTCTTCAAAATATATTTACTTGAAACTTTACACATGCACTTAGGGTCATATTTGTGAGGGTCATAATTGTATGTCACTGACCAAGTTCCATAACTCTATCTTGCATTAAGGCTGATTCATATCCCCTTTTCTACTTAGTCTCTTGGTTAATGTTTACATGCAAGTTTTACATATCTCAATAACTATTAAAGATATTTATTTAAAACTTCACATATGCATTAAGGGTCATAATTGTAGGTCACTGACAAAGATCCATATATTCTATCTTGCATTTAGGCTGATTTTTCTCCCCTTTTTCAACTTAGAAATTCATGGTAAAGTTTTGCTTGTAAGCTGTTATCTCAATAACTACTGAAGGGTTTGTGCCTTTTTTGGGACAATTTTATGCATTCATAATAATAAAGCAGTTATTTACTTGATAAAACATCTTAATAACAAGCCTTTGTACCTTTTCTGTCAAATTTATGTATTCATAGGTAATTAGTATTATTGTACTCAATAAAACACCCTCGTGACATTACCTTCCGAATAGTCAAGCCAATTCTGTATAATTAGACTCTCTCTAAGGCCTATAACATGAATTTATAAAAAAAAATTAGCCCTTTTGTGAACTTAAAAAATTTAACATTATCAAGGCTCTTTTACTATCAAGCACTTAGAATAGTCGAGCGTGCTGTCCTACCGACAGCTCTTGTTAAATGATATTCTTTCTGAATTATATTTTTAATTAAACCTAAAAAGGTTGTTAAGAATTTTCTTGTTATAAATAAATGTTCCGCCGACAGAACAGAATCACTTATGGTTATATCCTATGTTTAAATTGATGTTATCAAACTTATGTTCCGCCGGCAGAACAATTTCAAATCAATTTTATTAAATGATATTCTTTCTGAATTATATTTTTGATTAAACCTAAAAAGGTTATTAAGATTTTTCTTGTTATAAATAAATGTTCCGCCGGCAGAACAGAATCACTTATGGTTATTTCCTATGTTTAAATTGATGTTATCAAACTTATGTTCCGCCGGCAGAACAATTTCAAATCAATATTATTAATGATATTCTTTCTGAATTATATTTTTGATTAAACCTAAAAAGGTTATTAAGATTTTTCTTGTTATAAATAAATGTTCCGCCGGCAGAACAGAATCACTTATGAATTTATCCTATGTATAAATTGATGTTATCAAACTTATGTTCCGCCAGCAGAACAATTTCAAATCAATTTTATTAAATTATATTCTTTCTGAATTATATTTTTGATTAAACCTAAAAAGGTTATTAAGATTTTTCTTGTTATAAATAAATGTTCCGCCGGCAGAACAGAATCACTTATGGTTATATCCTATGTATAAATTGATGTTATCAAACTTATGTTCCGCCGGCAGAACAATTTCAAATCAATTTTATTAAATGATATTCTTTCTGAATTATATTTTTGATTAAACCTAAAAAGGTTATTAAGATTTTTCTTGTTATAAATATATGTTCCGCCGGCAGAACAGAATCACTTATGGTTATATCCTATGTTTAAATTGATGTTATCAAACTTATGTTCCGCCAGCAGAACAATTTCGAATCAATTTTTATTAAATGATATTCTTTCTGAATTATATTTTTGATTAAACCTAAAAAGGTTGTTAAGAATTTTAATATATTGTAATAAGTAAATGTTCTGCCGGCGGAACAGGATTTTTTATGAATTTATAAATTTTTCCTTTGCGTTAGAGTGAATCATATTTCTTTTCTGCTGGCGGAACAATTTCAAATGATTACATTATTTGATTTTAATTTAAGAAATATATTTTTGACAAAATTTTGCAAAGGTGTTAAAAATTGTATCTTGTAGTAAATAAATGTTCCGCCGGCAGAACAGAATCACCTACGGTTATATCCTATAGATGTTTAAATTGATGTTATCATACTTTTGTTCCGCCGGCAGAACAATTTCAAATAAATTTTATTAAATGATATTCTTTCTGAGTAAAAGTTATATTTTTGATTAAACCTTTAAAGGTTGTTAAGAATTTTGATATGTTGTTATAAGTAAATGTTCCGGAGGCGGAACAGGAATTTTTATGGTTCTATCTTATTTTTGCATTGATATGGACTGGAATCATATATCTGTTCTGCTGGCGGAACAATTCCAATGAGTTCTTTTATTTGATTTTTACTTTAAGAAATGCATTTGTTACAAAATCTTGCAAAGGTTGTTCAGAATTGTGGTATGTTGTAATTAATAAATGTTCCGCCGGCAGAACAGAATCACTTATGCTTATAACCTAGTATGTTTTGATACATGTTTTCATACTTATGTTCCGCTGGCGGAACAATTTAAGACTGAACTATTTTGTAAAATAACTTAATATAATTTATGTTTTATTTAATGTTCCGCCGGCAGAACATTTTAGCATTTTTGGATTCTTGCTATCTCGCAGAAAGAACTGCTAAATGTTCTGCTGGCGGAACAAATCATGATTTATTTGTGATAATATGCTGTATTTTTATAACAAAATGAAATAAATTTTGTGTAAAATATATTTTCAGATGTACTTTTTGTTGTTTTTCCCTTAAAATACATCTTAAAATATCCACTAAAATAGCTGAAAATGGCATTTTTAATTGGGAATCTGTGGATAATCCCTTTTTAAAATGGATGGAGTTACACGTACAAATGTAAATTCAGAACACAATACTCAGTGTTTAGCAATAATGTAGCAGTAAGCTAGTGTAAGCTTATTATTGTCTTTAACAAAATTGCGAAATTGAATTGTATGTGGCTCTGTTCATTCTTTTTCGTGCTTAGAAAACAATTTCTACGTCATTGGATATCATTAGCATCTTTTCATAGTATGGTACAAAAATGAAAGTCAAGAACACATGTGTGTATATTTAAAAAGTAGTTTATGTACGTTTCATAGCCAGAAAAATTTATACTAGGGAATTATTTTAGGAAGCATAACCATGCTGCCATTGAATAGTGTCAAACAAAACGAGGCTGCTTACAGAAGTATTTTGTGTCGTCGTGCTTTGCGACATATCTGGTTTACTTTCTTAAATAATAAAATAATATCTTATTAATGTACTTTAATAGGTCAAATGTATGAGTTATTCTGATTCCTGAAGTAATGCAGCAAATTACAAAAAAATGTGTCATTCGTTAATCGTTTAGGTAAAGAAAACAGACGGAACAGAGCCTTTATGCGCCTCATTATCATCAAAATCAATTATTTGTTTTGTCATTATTACCCGTGTGCGCCAAGCAAGACATTAAAAATATGCTCCTGAATATTTCTTCAGTTTCTTCCATGAAAATCGTGTAACGCACGATATTTACTTAAATACATCTACAAATCGAAATGCCACAGACATAACGGAAATTAAAATGTTTAGAACACCTTCCCAATTATCGTTCACATTTAGACAAGCAACATAAAAATGCCTTCATTTTGAAATATGATCATTATAAATTTTACTTTTTTTCTCTCTGACAAATAAGTAAATACTTGTATTCTAAGGAATCTTTAATGAAAACATCTTCCGTCGTATAGCGATTAATAACATCATGAACGACATAACTGATACAAATATATGATTATTAGACCAGCTTTATTATGCAAAAGTGATTATATTGAGACCGATTTTATGTAAATTTTCCAAAAGTGATCATAATCAAAGGCGAAGTTATTTCAACTATTGTAAAAAATACAAACAAAAAGCCAAAAAAACTTTCTTCTCATAATGCTTTTATAAAAACAGTAAATGTTTAGGGGCTATATGGAGAATTTTATCACGGGAAAGCATAACATAACGAAGCATTCCTAATAAGAGAGAAAAATAAATAAAATGCAACCAGTTTACATTGCAGAAGTGTGATTGTGATAATTAAATGAGCAATATCTTTTACGCCGCTTCCCCATTAGTACCGGGATAAGCGGTATTCAACCTTCAAAGTATTTGAATCTATGATCCCGAAGTATCTGTGAAATATTACAACATTGGGATTACGTATGGACCAACTTTTCCCTGAAAAGACAAGCAATTCAGCTCCATAAAACTTTGACTCCTATGTTCAGTTTTCAAAATCTTAAACGTTTTCACTGGAAAAGAACAGTTAAGTTACATGTAGTTATTCAGTTGTCCATAAGAAAAAAGGCACAGGTGATGTTTCAAGAATGGTCACAGTCACTTTTGGATTAGATTATAACAAGTACCGCATTGTTTAGTGCAATGGCGTTTTTTGTTTTCATTACAATTAGGTAAACAAGATTATTCAAACAGAATTTTAAATAATTTGTTTTTTTACCGTGAACTGAATAAAATTTTACTTTGTGTAAAACTAAGTGCTGACATAATTTCTAATTACAGAAAGAAAAG